CCCACCGATCTTCAAAATAAAACACAAGAAATGTTTAAAAAAAAAAACAAAATGTGAACTAAAAAAATAACATAGAAATTAATGATAATCAAAAAATAATAAAAATGATACAGAAAAAAATCTGCTTGATGCTACATATTGAAGTTAAGTCAAGTTTCAGTTTCAATTCAATTTATTTTTATAGTGCCAATTTATGTAATCTCAAGGCATTTTACAATTCAACCAGACCATACAGTCAAAATGATTCAAAGTTTTCTATCTAAGGAAAACCAGTTGATTGCATTGACTCATTGACTCCAAGGCAATCCCTCACACTAAGCATGCGTATAGCAACTGTGGAGAGGAAAAACTCCCTTTTAACAGGAAAAAACCTCCAGCAGAACCAGGATCAGTGTGAGCGGCCATCTGTTGAGGCCGACTGGGTTCAAGGAGACTGAAGCAGACATAGAGAAAGAACCAGAGATACAAAAGGCAACTGTCAAGCGGCTCCACAAGCGCCCCATCCAGGAAACACAGAGCCAGGCAGAAGAGCTCCCAGCCATTTCCATATCAGGGGATGAAGAGAGCACATACAGTCACAGTCAGAGAAAAAGGACCACTCTGAAAAAATGGCCAAGCTCCAACATCTATAAACAAAGGTGTTGATGGCAGCAGCAGCACAGCTGATATTTCTCTCCAGGATGGTGTCACAGCCAAAGAGGAACAGACCAGATGAAGCTACTATGAGAAAAAGCAGAGAGTTGACAGAATTAGGGATTGAACTAACAAATTCTGCAGAGTGGAAGAATAGAGATAGAAAGAAGCATAATGATGAAACAGGGTCCCTAAGTCCTCCAGCAGTCTAAGCCTATATCAGCATAACCATAGAGATAGCTCAGGATAACCTGAGCCACTCTAACTATAAGCTTTATCAAAAAGGAAAGTTTTAGGCCTACCCTTAAAAGTAGACAGGGTGTCTGCCTCACGGACTAAAACTGGTAGTTGGTTCCACAGGAGAGGAGCCTGAGATAAGACTTGTTTAGACATTAATGGCTGTTTTTTTTTTGTTTTTGTTTTTTTTTTTGGGGGGGGGGTGCATGAAAACATTTGCAAGCAATTATTTCAGTTATGGTATTTATATTGGTTTTGATAAAAATATGATGGTATCATTTACTAGGTAAAAAAACATGATAACAGAAAATTACTGGAATAGAGCAACATGGGCAGCAATAAAAGGCAATAAAAGGCTGTATTACAAAAAATATAAACATAAAGTAATGACTGTTTGTTTCTTTATTTTATGTCCAGGTGGATATTACTATCCTTACGGAGGCAAGTTGCTTGGTGTTTTTTTCCTTTGGTCAAATATTTATAGTTCTGCTTGTAAGTGCACTAATAGGTCTGTATTCTCCATGTTAGCTCCTTATGGTACTGGTGTGGGTACTGTGCCTGGACAGGGAGCAGGAAAGCCACCTGGATCAAAACCTGGTAAGGTTGTGGCTGCTAAAGAGACGTGTAAATTGGTAGTGTGAAGTGTTTTCTTTTTTTTTTCTTTTTCTTTTTTTTCATTCCTTAAAGAATCACCAAACCAATTTAATTCAGCAAATAATAAGTTTAGCATCATGTATCTCTGTGGGTTTTTTGCAGGTGCTACAGGTGGAGTAGGAATCCCACTGACCTCAGGAGGCTATCAGGGTCAGTGTTCCTCAAAGTGTCTTTTAATTTTACTTAAACTCTAAGATTTCTTCAGAACCAACAAGCCAAATCATCTCATATTCTGATAATACACGATGCAAACACCTGCAGTAGCAGCCATTCAAAATGGCCCTTCCCAGTCAAACACTATCTGACTGGCAGCTCACTTCTCTGCAACTCCCAGCAAAATCCCCTCCAACTCCCAGCCACTGGGCGTGCATATTTTTTTACTCTGACTCCACCCTTTCACTGAATTACAGGGTCTGACCAGGAGATGATGCTTCTTTTTAGATCTTGTTGTCCACAAATCATAACAGAAAGAATATTTTAGTACAAAGATTGATGTTTAAAAAGGAATTGTAGGGGATCAGCCAGGGACCAGCCAAGGGCCCATCAAGGAAAGTGGGGACATTTTGAATGGCTACTACTAAAGTAGTAAAGGGAAAACCAGAAGCTCAAATACACCATATAAACTGTCACCTTATACCTATAACTGGCTTATACAGGTAAAAAAAAAAAAAAAAAACACATTAACACCATTCAAAATTATTAGGAAAGACAGGAAAAAACAGATTAGGCAATGAGAGATTAATAACAAAAACCCTAGATTTTTAACCTTGTTTTAAAGGAACTCAGGGTGGGAGATGTGTACAAGCATCTAAGTCCAGATTTTATGAGAAAAGCAATTGCAAACCACTTAGTCCTTAATATCAATTAAATATGTTAATCAAACCTTTTAAGTTTGATTCACATTATCTTAAAGCACTTAATGGTTTCTAGCAATGAATAAGATGGAAGTTTTACTCACATCTCTTACCGGTTAGTACTTGGTTAGCACTTCAAAATTAACTTGGTTTTTTTTTAAGATTCTATCAGCAACATTTTAAATAGGTTGTAGCTGTCCTACTGATTATTTTTTTAAATTCTGTAAAATAGATTAAGAATAGTAAAGCCTACAGGAAAGAAAGGCATAAACTAATTTTGAGTCCAGTTTGGACGTCAGTTTTCTGATATTGTTAAAGCGATATTTCGCTGTTTTAAATGATTGGTTTGATATAGTTTTTAAGATTCATTGGAGGGCTTTTTATAGTCCCAAGATTTCTGGCTTTGTCAGCACGTTTAAAACCCATCTCATTTAGGTGGGCACTGAATATAAATCTATGATATTTTGGTCCAAAAACCAAGAAAATTTTAAAACATCTAACTGTTAATGTGGTTAGTACAATTATTAAATGGCTTTACTTGAGTATAGTCAACTGTTACACAATTGTAGGCTGCATAAATGTGGTACTGCTTTATTACTTTGCAAAATCTGAGCATGTGGAAACATCCTTACGTTAAATAGGAGAGGAAAATGGATGGAATATTGGAAAATTATCCAAACAATTTTATTCTGTTAAAATTTGAAGATACGGACAAAAATATGCTCTAAATATCAGTTTACAGCATGTAAATACCACACCAGAATAACCAATCAATTTGCTGTTGTTGGGATCATAAATAGTCAACATCAACGTTAAACCCTGTACTGGGAAGAAACAGAATTTGTATCGAGATTGTACCGCAATCAAGATCTAGATGCTCACTAAAAACCAGATTAATATGCATCTAATCTGTCACGATTTGCTTTGGAAATTTTTGTGAGGACCCAAATGCAGAGGCTGAGAGGCAGGAGTGAGTTCTTTGATAATTTAATGGGATAACAGAGGTAGCAAAAACAGGAATCCAAAAATCCAACATTGAAATTAAACACTAACCAGAACCATGGAGACATCAGGCGGAAACTATCACAAGGAGCCAGGGTGAGACAAAGTAAAAGGGGAACCAGCACTGAGGAACTGCATAAGGAGTGTATTTATGGGAGACTGAAACGAAGAGAGGACTAACAAGCAGATTGGGAGCAGGTGTGAACAGAGCAGAACAGGAAAGGAGCAAGGGAAAAAGGAGAACACAAGAGGGCAACAGAGGACAAGCAAAGAAAAACCTAAGAAACTAAAATAAGTTCAGAACACACCAATAAAGCTAGAAAACAAGGAAAAACCTGGATAAGCTTGAAACGGAAAACTTAAAGAAAACCAACAGAACCAAGGTCGTTACATAATCAGCTCAAAGTTACTAATCTTTAATTGTTGAAAAGCTATTTTCTTCTAATATTTAAGCCTAGTTTGGCAACTTTGATATGGGTTGGTAATTACCGAGTTTTAAAGAGTCCAGAACACTCTTCTTGAGAAGTGGGGATAGAAATATTCCGTCATCATCCTGCCCAGGAAGGAGTCTGGTTCTGTGTACCAGAGATTAATGGGTTTCGGTTCAAAATGTGTGAATCAACCTCAGATAAAATGTAGGTGATTCTGTGAAAAGGCCATCTGAAGTTGGTTCGATAGCCTAATAAGAATGTACTGTAGGTCCTGTATAAAAGGCCATTACTGGAAGCTTAAAAAGGCCAGATTAGGTTAGTGAACAGATGTGCTGTGGTTTCATGAAACTTGTTCATAATGAATATTTCTACATTTGGAGGAAAAAAGGAAAGTTTGCTTGTCGGTATACACCATCTCAACTGTGGAGGCTGCCTTCTGTATGCATGTTTAGTGGCAGGGGGGAGCAATAACAGTGTAGATAAATGTCCCCTGTCAATTGTAGAGGACAAAGTTATCATTCTTCTTCAAGACGGTTAAATGCCATTAGATCAAGACTAAACACTGTTAGCATTAAAGTTAAGGACCATGTAGAACTAATACACAACATTCCCCTGAACACTAAAAAAAAATCCACATAGTTGTCCGGCCCAGTGCTCAGAGTGACAGTTGGTCAGGACATGCCATCACACCACTTCCTGTGCAGGAAATCGGCCAACAAGCTGATAAGTGACAAACGAGGAAGTGCTTTGATGTTGTTTTAGTGAAGAAAATATTCACAGCTTTTCTTTGCATTTGTGCCTGCATTGTTTTTTTAATTTTTTATAGACTGTATATCAACAGCTCTATGAAACTGACTTCTGTTTTTTCTGTAAAACTGCAGTTGGACAGGGAGGAGCTGGTGGAGTGAAAGCACCTAAACCCGGTAATGTAAAATCCCTCACTCTGCCACAGTTATCATTAATCTACGGTATCAGGTTCCCCTTTAAATATTCATAACACCGCAAGCAACAGGTCCAGTCATTTTACCCCAAAAATCTGAAGAATCCTGCTCCACCCAAAAAATGGAAACACAAAAGTGTTAAGCGGGTGTAAATGGAGCAAGGAAACTACAGATAATTCCCGACTGCATGGTGATAGCTGTTGGCAATACCAAGATAACATCAGTTAAGTTTTCTTTTCTTTTTTTTTCTTTTTTTCCAAGAAAAAGGCTCTGCTTGAACCCTTCCCAGAAAAACAAGCTAAAATCTGTCTTGAGGAATTCTTGTATGACCTGAAATGAATCATGTCTTCTCAGAGAAAAACAGGATCTTACTGTCTAAGATAACTGTAAAAAATATAATATATACGTAAATGTCTCAGTCACAGAAAGGTTGTTTATAAGAGTTATTTTGTGTTTTATTTGTTCAGGTTATGGTAACCTTGGAGGAGGAGGTGTATATCAGCCAGGTGAGGATCACAATACGCCATCAGTAATCAGACATGTAAAAAACTGCAAAATACACCTATAATGCAGATGTGTGTCTTAAGACATAAACCAGCTCTGTATTTGAATAAGTTATGTTTTCATTATATCTACTGTAGATGCCCATTGGATTTTTTTTTTTTTTGGGAAAAATAAGTCTCCAACTAATATGATAATACTAATATGAATCTGAATCGGGAGTTACAGGTGGTACAGGAATGGGAACCATAGGAGCAGGAGTCGTACCTGGAGGTGGACAGTACTCTGCTGCTGCTGCTGCTGCTGCTAAAGCTGCTAAATATGGTACAGCTAATTGGCAAACAAATACAGGCTTTGAATAGAATAAATACACTTAACACTGGATTTTTAAAAGGGCATGTGTTAAGTTTAACCATTATTTTGTGACAGAATGTTGAGGGTATTTGGGTTTTATACTGTAGGGGATATAAATAGTTTTTCTGTTTTTCCCTCCCCTAGGTGTTCCATCAGGAGTAGGACAAAGACAAGTTCAAACAGGTACACTATTATATAATCTGTATTTGTGCAGCATCCTTGATGTTCTGTTATGTGTGAGGAACTTGTTGGATATAACAGAATCAGTCTTCCTACTAGGGGTGTCCTGATCTGATTTTAATATTGGATATAGTTCCAATATTAGACAAAAAGCTAATAATCCGAATATATCAGCCTGCATCTAAAATTTCTGATGGAAACACTGTTTCTGTTCAAAGTTTCTGGTTTGTGTTTTCATCCCCATTGTTTTTGACTCTTGATATCTGTTTCAGTAATAATACTTAACATTCTACAGTAGAAAGTAAGTAATAAAAGCATAATGCTTTTAATATCGTATCGGGTCAATATCAGTATTGGTCAATTCTCAAAGCTGCAATATTGTTCCACCGACATGGACCTGTTAATGTAAGGGTATTACAGAGAGAGGATGCCTTTAAACTTTTAGATATGCAGGTCAGTCGGTGTTGTCCATGTCTCCACAACTTCATGTTGGTCAAGTAACGGCTGACATGTCATGGCATCAAAAATAAACTGTGAATAAAGAGGGTGCACGAAGCAATACAAGGATCGATTGAGGGGGGCTTTAATAGAGCTTTATGTGTATATATTTTTATCTTTTTTATTTTTATTTTTATCTTGATTGGTTGTGTATATATATATATAAAACTGTAACTGGAGCGTGTAACAAAAGTAATTTCTAATTCTGATTCTGAATATGTTTTAATATGTGTTTAGAAAAGAAGAAGCTATTTCCTATGTCCTTTAAGGGAAAAGAAAGAATTATATAATAGTAAAAAAAAAATTATAATGGAAACAAAATTAAACATATAAGATCTTAACTAAGGGAAAACTAAAAGGTTCAGAAAGCCATATTGCTGTGGTATTATTGTACATATATCGCCAGGGTTTTGGCTAAAGAAGGGAGGTGTTGGCTAAAGAATCAAAGTTCATATTTAGTGCCTAGATGGACATGTTAATGTAAGTGCATTACAGAGCAAGAAAGCCATTAAATGTGTGGATATGCAAGTGTCATCTGTATCTCCAGAACTTAACAACAGTGGAGTAAGAGCTAATGTAACAGGATCAACATGCTAGTGGTCATAACCATGAGATGCAAGTAAAATGCAATGTTTTCAAAACTCTATCATACTGCATAGCGGATTTTTGACTATAATAACAGCATGAAGTTATTGCTAGTTAAGATGCTTGATTCCAGGTCAAGTCCCAATTCATTGGTATTTCAAGGCAAAGTTGGGTTGCAAGTCTCCTTTGATATAATTACATACATTTTAAATTAATTTAATCTGTAAGCCAGGTCTGACTTGAGTTCGGCCATAAAGTCAAAGACTTGCTTAAAACCATTGCAAACCACCAATTTCAGGTTTTATTTGTGAAATAAATATAAACCATGAATGTCTCTCCTTCCATTTCATGGTTATTTATTTCTTTGTTTTTATATGTCACATAAACTCTCAGTAAAATATATTCCAATTTGTGAGTGTGAAAAGATAATAAATGAAATAGTTTAAGGGTGATTAATGTCACACATGCTTACCAGTGATGAATGAGTGTAATCACACTAGCAGCAGCCGGCAGCACAACCTCCTCATGTTACCCCACAGACCGTGGACAAGCTCATCACAAATAGATACTGTATGGCCCTAATCCCTCTCCCAGAGGTCGGAGGCTGGCGCTGCAGATGGTACAAAAAAATTAGGAAGCTGCCCAACATAACTAAGAGGGATATTTATTAAACTATTATTAAAGTAAATTTAAAAAAGAGGTTAAACTGTACTGCTTACTACTTTTATTAAATTGATGTATGCTGGTTTAAACTAAAAAATTATGGAATTTGGTTATAGATGTGTAAACTCAATAATTTTCCCACCTGTTTATTTATTTTGTTATATCTTCTTTTTTTGTAATATGTTGCCCAGTGGTACTCTGATCCTACACTCATGAAATAACTACTTTTAAAACCTACAGGAGTGGTTCCTGGTTATGGCGGAGGATACCCTCAGCAGTACTACCCAGGTAGCCCTGCAGTTTGCACATTAACAGATTCTCTCAGACAATAAACGTGTGAAATATTCTCAATGCTGTTAAGAAAGTGATGGACATTATGTAACATTCTTTTTAAGTGAATGAAGTGGATGATTCATAATAATTAACAGAAAATTGAGACAGAAACACAATTCCTTATTTTCTGTATAGCAATTAAAGATGTATTAAATGTAAACAAACTCTATATAGAAGTATAAGAATTACTGTTAAGGTTAAGTGAGCGAGGTAGCTCTAGATGTCTAAACATCTGTGTCTTCCTCTAGGTTATTATTATAAATCCTCTTATTTTACAAAAAAAGAATAAACTGCAAGATCAAAATATGTGCTACTGCATTCAGATCAGTCAGATTACGTCTGCTACAGTTGCTCCCCTGTTCTTGATTTACAGTTTCTCCTGTCCACGGAAGAAGTGCAGTGTTGCTTTTTTGTTTAGGCATTTTACCTATGTCACATTGTTGTGTATATGGCTTCAAAAAGCTGCCCAACTTTGATTAGATAAATCTAGCGTAATCATTGCAGCTCCAGTGGGAACCACGCCAGGGAACCACAATCAGTCTTGGAACTTATAAACCACAACTTAAAACACAACAATTCACCACTGCTATACAATTCAGCTGTTTTTTGTTTTTTTTTTATGTCAGGAATGATCTAATATTGATGTTGTGAGTCTCATGCTACATCCCATAGACCCTCAGTCTACACTGATGATGATTAACTCACCTCAACATGCAGATTTCATAGGGATATGACAGCGTTTTCTGACTGATTGTGACTGCAGTATCTACCTGTTTGGAGGCATTTGTTGACTCTGGATAGAGGATGGACTTTTTTATCTCCAGATAGAGAGATAAAATCCCATTTATCCCATTATGCTAAAAATATATGAAACAATGTAAGTTCATAAACTGCACATATATTTCAGAGGTAAGAGGCTATGATAATTTCAAAACCATTTATGTGTAAACCTACTTGCAATCTGATTCTATAGACAGAATTTACAGAATGTGAAACTTATTTAGCTTTGTTGCACCTATTTATAAGAAAGGTTCAGTTACTGACATAAAAAGAGCATGGTCTGCATTAAGTCAAACCTTTCTTAGTGTAAATCAGTCAGTTCTGGCCCGGAAAATAAACTCTGGACTCAATTTGACTCAATTTTATTATTCCTCTAGTTTTATTGTATCATTATTCTTTCAGCATCTATGACAGAACCTGACTTGTTTCAGCCTAGATTATGTCTGTAAACGAACCTGTTTCACATGTTCTTTGTTTTTGATGTTGTTTTAGGTCAATATGCACCTGCTCAACTTAGCCCACAACAAGGTACCAACTTCAACACCTTGCTCTACATTTAATCACACATCCTTTAAAGGTTTCTTTCTTCAAAAGGGTTTGACAGAGGAGACTATACAGAAAAAAAACAAATAACATAGGTGCTCACTCAGAGATGACAGCATTCATGAAATGTGCAAAACTATTAGTACATAAATCTGTAACTGTGACCTTTTATAAGGTAAAGCTTTTTTTTTTTTTTTAAATAGCGATTGGTGGGGGCTAAGTTTCTGAAAATCTAAACAAAAAATATCATTTATACATTGCTTAAATGTTTAAAGAACTGATTAATTTTGTTTTAAAGAAAATACAACTTTTCCATCTACAAACTACCTCAATATTAATTCCACCACTATTTATTCATACCAGCATTATTTTATCTATTTTTTTTCAGTAATGTATTTTAAAAAAAACAACATAAGTTTGGATAAACATCACAAAAAAAGTGCTTTTCAGAATTTTCTTGTCATGATTTCATGGAATTTTACGGTTAGAATTATTGAATTTTGTTTCAAACAAATCAATCTTTATGTGAAAATGCTATACAGCAAACAGTTAACCATCTTATTTATAATGATCTGGAGACATTACACATATTTTAATACAGAAAATAAATGTAATCCTCTATTAAGCTTATTATTTTATATCTTTATTTTTTATTTTTTTAGCCAAAGCAGCAAAATATGGTGCACTGCAGGGCTTCCTTGGAGGAGGAGGAGGAGGAGGCGGAGGTGGTGGAGGACTCTACAGAGGTGGGTTTTAGTCTTTAACCCTCCAAAATTATTAAAACCCCTGATTCCTTGGTAATAAAAAAAAGCCCTCTTAAAAAAACCCTACAACATAACAAACAATATGAAATTACAGTTTTTACAAAAATCATGTGCATCACATTCATCATCTTTTGTAATAAAATTGCAACAAGCCTGTGCTGCAGTTCATCTTTTTTTTTTCTTCATGTTTTTGTTTGTTTTGTGGGTCCAGATTTGAACCTGACAAGCTAACCTATTTTAAACTTTTGATTTTCCTCTCTGATTCTGGAAACTTAAAACACCAAATTCTTCGTCATATTGTTAGTAATCCTTTCAATTTCTGCTGGGTATAGATATGACATGCCATAGACAGAGCCCTGTTTTTGTTTGCTCCCCTTTAAAAAGTAAAAAGGACATAGTACATACGGTATTTAAGGTTGTTTATTTCAGTAAGTCACTGAATGGCAGTAAACTTTATTAGAGAGAACAAGGAATTACATCTAAGGACACAGCAAGGAAAAATGGTCAAAAATCCTTCATTTAGTACCGTCCAACCATATAAAATGTTATAGGACAGCACTGCGGTGTCATTTGAGTTAAACTTAATTATAAAACACATAACAAAGACAGGTACCAATATCTATAATACTGATTATTTCCTAAAGTGTTTTTTTTTTCTCTCTCTCCTGTGACTAAATGTCACATTAAAGGCTAGATTTGCAGCATGACATTAATTCATCTTAATGCAACCGGTGTGAAAAGCTCTGCAGATCACAGCATCAAAAACTGTAATCATAACATGGTGGGTTATGTGAACCTATTCCCCTTTTCCCTGTAGGTGGCGCTGCAGGATGCCAGGGTAAATACTGTGGGAGGAGGAAGTAGACGGTCCCCAGATCCAGTGACCTCAAGAAACCATGGTGCTACTGCATGATCTAGAATGTACATTTTATATGGAAACAATGCCCGATTAGACAACCTGTAAAGATGTTCGTTGTTGCTTACTTGACTTCAATGTCTGTTTTTCTACAAACCCACCGACCCAGAGTTTTGTACATGTTCTGTTATGAACATATGTTATAGATAGTGCCTTTAATTAATCATTTATGTGCTCCAGTTAATCAGCTTTTATTCTCTGTACTCCACCAAAGGGGGTTTAGAAGTGTTTTGTGTCATTGTGTGTTGCTGCATTAGACTTTGTGTGAGTGTGTTTCGTATTGTGAGGATCAGTCTGATCTTTCTGCTTTAATCCCCAAAACAAGTGGATCCATCTCACCTGTCTGCGCAGAGCTCATCGCCTTTCGGGGGGGAGTGTTGATTTGGTGGAAGCTCGCCCGAATACTTCATCAAATCTGTCCAATCTCTGCCCCCCCCCTTTTCCTCTGCGACTATTTTTATCCATGCTGAGTGTAAAGCAGCAGGAGATTGCTCGGGCCAACCCATCTGCTCTCTGAGATTTTGCTGATTCCTGTTGCTGCAAAGTGAAGCCGTCTCAGCACTTCTCTGTTCTCTAAATGAAAGAAAGCTAAACACAGTCAAAACATTTCTTCAGGCTTTACAGAAGGGAAAACATTTGATTAGAAGTAGGAGTTAGTCTGACAAGTACTTTATGTGTGGTTGAACATTGAGTGAGCATTAGTGTCATTTATTTGTTAGGACTAATAGCTGTATTGTTATCAGGAGAGCATAAAACAAAGAAACATCCTTTTGCATTTATCCTCTGTCACTAACTATTATCACAAGCTTTGTTTATTGGGGGAGGATGTGTGTTTATGTGAGGCATAAAATCCTCTTGTTTATTTACTTGAGCTGCTTTTATCGAGGCTTTATTGACCAAAGGTTTCTGAGTGCTGTTGCCGACGTGACCGCATCTCTCCATGTGTAACTATGTACTGTATTTTTAACTAATTTTGATGTTAGCCAGCTTCAGTTCCTTCAATCGAGGCTGCGTGAGAGCTGTCTTTGAGCCTCGCCTGGATAGACCCTGTTGTATGTGGCGTGGGATGCTCTTCATCTTTATTTAAAACTATTTTTAGAAGGAGGAACAGTGTGGTTTTGCACTTTTTTTTTTTATGATCTCCACGACACATGTGACTCGATCCCAGACATCCTGGCAATGTATTTGCTTTAACAGATACCAAAATAAAATGTGTTTAAAGAAGCTTTCTTCTTCTTTGTTTGATTTTTAATGACTGAACAACTAAATTTATTAAAACCATCCACTTTTTTTGTTGCCTCAAAAGTCTTTTTTTTTTTCTGGTTTTTTAATCTAATATATTTGATTACTTTTCAGCAAAATCAAGATATTCTGCAAGAGAGAACAGATGCACAGACACTTCTGACTTTATTCATATTTTGTTTCATCATAACCACAAACTGTAGTATAATTTATGTGAAAGAAAAAAGAAAGAGAAATTATAAATGGTTTTTACATTTTCCTTTCAAATTTTGAAAGGCCTGTCATTTATTTGCCTTTGGCTCCAGGTAAGATTTCAGCTCCAGCACAGTAGTTTTTGGAAATTGAAAAATGCAATGTTTATATGTAAACAGGGGTGAGAATTTGGATTGGTCAGATGATTCCAAAGGAAACCTGTTAGTGGTTGAAAAAGACAAAACTGAAATTCACCTTAATGCAAAAAATAACTAGAGCAATCAAAGTCCACATCTAAATGATTAAGAATCAGTGGCAGAATTTGACAACAGATCTTAATAGACTCTCTTTATCTAATCTACCTGAACCAGGGACAAGTTTAGGGCAAGGAATTAACAAACATGTATTAATAGTCTACTTGTGCAAATCTGGAAATGTCATGAACCAAAAGACCTGAACATGAAATTGCAGCAAGGGATTTCTAAGAAAAGCGCTATATACAGAAGCCGGAAAATAAATGCATACACATTTTTTTTGTCAAAACAAATGTACCCAATACTTGTGTTGGTCTAGCACCTGAAATTTATTTTTAGTTTATTTTTGTTGTTGCAATATGAGAAAATGTGAAAAGATTTAAGGTAAAAGAGTGGTTTTCCAAGGTGATTTGCATCTCCTTTAATCAAAATCTCAGATGGAAAGTCATGCAACTGTTACCTAAGAATCTCCAGGGTACAAACACTGACCAGGGATTCTCATCTCACACAAGTAGCTGAAACAATTTTCAATCTTCCACAGTGTTTCTGTTGAGCTGTGGAATATCTACTGTCATGGTACAAACAGCTGTTTAAAGAATTACTATTTCTCTCAAATTGCCTTCACCAAAATAAAAAAACAAAATCTTTAAGGATTTGTCTAAATTAGAGATCAGATAAAAACATCACCTTTATTTTGTCTGAGTGAAGCTGCAAAATAATACATGAAATGTACACATACTATAGAAGTTACTTTTCAATCATTTCAGCCTAATATGTTGCATTTTTATATGCAAAAAAATTAATACATTTCTGAAAAGACTTAAAATGTTCTAAGAAAATTATTAAATGTTCTAAGAAAATTATTTTAAAAAGTCAGAACTCTGAGATTAAAGTCAGAATTGTGCGAAAAACGTCAGAATTCTGGGGGGAAAAAAGGTCAGAATTCTGAGATTAAAGTCAGAATTCTGAGATCAGAGTCAAAATTCTGAGATCAGAGTCAAAATTCTGAGATCAGAGTAAGAATTCTGAGATTAAAGTCAGAATTGTGAGAAAAAAAGTCAGAATTGTAAGAAAAAAGTAATTCTGACTTTTCTCAGAATTCTGACTTTTTTTTCTCAGAATTCTGAGGGGAAAAAAAGTCCGAATTCTGAGATTAAAGTCAGAATTCTGAGAAAAGTCAGAATTCCAAGATTAAAATCAGAATTGTGAGAAAAAAGTCAGAATTCTGAGATTAAAGTCAGAATTCTGACTTTTTCTCGTAATAAAATAACATTTAAAAATCTGTTAACCTTTTTTCCAGTGGCCCTAATCCACGAGGAATGATTGCATTATTTAAAATGATAAAGTTGATTATAGAGCTGGTTTATTAGCCAAAGTGGGCTTAAGATCTCTATAGTTGCACCTCTGCACAGTAAAAAAAACAGCTGATTAAAAAAAAAAAAATCTGAAATAGATTTATCACATTATATGTTACAACTTCTTGCCATACATTTAATATTTAGGCTCTCTTTTTTCTCTCCCCTCCCTCAGACAAGGAATTGGAAAAAAAAAATCCTGAATTAATGAAGTGGGGCGTGTTCCCGGTTGGCCAGCCTCTGTATATCCCGCTCCCCGTCTCTGACGCCTCATTGGTCGGCGGCTCTGTTGAATGAAGCGCCGCAGAAAGGAGCGACCAGCAGCGGGTATCAGGAAGCAGCGTGGGCCGCTGCAGCTGCAGGGATCCACCGAGGAGAAGCAAGCACAGCGCCGGGGAGCAGGCTGCGGAGGAGCCGCTGGAAGACACCGATCACCAGTTATCTGCCGACCAGAGGTTCTCCGGGGGAGAGCAGAGGAGAGTGAATGAGGTTGATGCTGCTTTGCTGCACCTGGAAGGACGAACGCATGGGAGAGGAGGAAGGTGAGCAGCTGTTTTCTGGGGTGTTAAAATGCAGAGGATGCTGCAACCTGGGGGGAAATAAAAACTGAAATATGCTATGGTGTTTGACTTATACTGATCCGAAATGGATTTATCAGCGTTTTGTCTGCGGAGAGGCTGTATGGGGATGTTGCTGCTGCCATGTTTTTCTCCAGTTAATGCAATCATCATGTGTGTGCACCAAAGACTGAACAAGCTCAGCCTGCATGAGCAACCGGTATAAACATGCTGGTTTATGATCAGAATAAAAATGAGGAAACAAGAATCATAGTTTTGAATTAATCAACTCATCTATTCAGTATTTCTTTCCTAATTATTGGTAAACAAATCTGTTTACCCACCCCTGAAATTCATGACTAATCATATTTCAATGTCTTGTTTTGGTTTGATTTGGAAGATTTTTAATTCTAAAGATCTGTGTCATGACATCACATTTGCCCCTTTAAGCAATGGTGTAAATATCAGTAAGGGGAGACTGCAGTTGCTTAGGGGCCCCCAACCTCTTAGGGGCCCCGTCACTGACACCTGGTTGGCCCCCCTACGCAATTGTGGACTAGGACGATTCTTTGCAGATGTAATGGTGTGAAAAATTGTTCTTAAACCCACCTGGTACTAGTTTGAATGACCAGAACTTATTTATACCCCAACACATGGCAGATTTCAACATGATGGTGAGCCGTTTAAACACGACACTAATAGCAATGTTGTACTTCATATGGGGCCACCCAAATGATGTTGCTTATGGGCCTATTGTTGTGTCGTTACGCCACTGCCTTTAAGCATTGCTGGGTTAAAATATAAAACTCCCACTCCGATTTATAAATGTAACAATACAGGCTTTGTGTGTTTGTTAATGTTTGCATTGCAATAACTGCAAGACAAGTGTTTCACCTGTACAGGTGTGTGTGGGAGAATGAGGGTGTGACTGTTTGCTTTTACCACCCTGACTTAGAAGGGAACAAAGACTATTAGTCTTTCAGTTCCTGAAATCTGTTTGTGTTTTATAAACAGTCTGTATTGATTTTTACTTTTTGATACGCTGCAATCAAGCTCCATCTCCTCCTCAAATTGTACTGTCAAAGAAATGCATGTTTTCTGAAGTTTCCTGTCTGCATCTGTCACCAGTTTTCTCTGCAGTGAAGGAGGCATCGCAGATTGACAAATTCATCCAAACTGGTTCTTCGTTCTGAGGCTGAATGTTTTTCTCATTAGTAAGAAGGAATGCTGTGTAATCATCGGCTCTTATCACTGAGCTATCTTTAACGTGCAAACATGTTGCCTTGTGTTGTGCCGGTAGACAACCTTAAAGAAAACTGTGTTGTGCAACCTTAGGATTTAAGTCTTTAATAATAAATGAGTGATTGCATTAATGCTAATTCATCCCATTAGGTGCTTTAAGTTCTTAAAACGATAAGAAAATTTATGATGTATCATGGTTTATTAAACTGCTTACAACAGAGAAGGTTTTGGTTGCAATCGCAACTTGTAAATACAGTATTTTTAGTTTTTTTCCTGTTTTGTAATTTACTCTTTGATTATCTGTGAGAAAACTAACTTTAGTGGAACCCTGAGAGGACATTCTCCAAAGGTATTAGTTAAGATAGTTTCAACAATGAAGTAAAATCTATAAATATTGCTAATTGTCCATAGCGACAACCTGGCTTTAAGCTACAAATGTTTCATAGGGTGTACACCTTGGTGTATCACATCTTTAGGCTTTGAACTTTAGACTCTGAAATACCATTTCCTGCACTTTGAGGTGGAATGCAGCTTACTTTTTACCTTTGTTACAACACATTTGTCCTGATTATGTGCTTGACTAGAGGTGGAAATTTCATAAGGAAGACATGAGATCAATTTTAGATACAATGATTCAATTAGAAAGTGTATTACTACATTTACACTGCGATTTGAGCATCAAAAAAGCGTCTGCTGCTTCATTTTTGATGCTTGTACACATTAAGTTTAGACATGCCTAAAGAGCATCTTTGATGCTCCTGAAGCGCGTCCAGTAAAGTGTGTACAGGTGCGTCTAATGCTTCTGCTGCTCCTGTGTTCAATGGCAGAGAGATGCTTTGCTATATTTGCTGTAATCTGTTGATAAAACGTAGCTTTAATACAAAACATACTACCTCAAAACGTCGTCTATGCAGTCAGTTCATCAAGAATCCTGCTTTAAAATATTATTCCGCTGTTGGAGCAGCTCAGACCGCCGCATACGACGGTGCGCTGTCACTGGGAATCCCCAGCAGCAGCTGCCCCAGGCCCGTTCGCTTCTTAGTTGGTTTTCCCCTACTGTTTGTGGCGACTGGAAGTAGATGTAAGCGTTTTTCAGGTATAAGGTACAAACTGCAGGCACCAGAATAATAAAAGCAAACATATGCTTCTGGCAGGTTTTTAAATTTTAGGTTTAGACGTTAATTAACAGTTTCAGTGGAGTGATCATAGCGATCTGCATCAGCAGCACTGTCTGTCTCCCTGCCAGCTTGCAGATCAGCTTCTCTGATTAAATGATGTGGCACGTTGAGCTGCAACAGTTCAATATTTCCAATTCCAGCATTTGCTGCTTGTGAAATTTTTAATGTTTGAGCAGAATCAGAGGTAAAATTAGGGCGTACAAA